TGGAATGGGCTTCTTCGGAATGAAATGCTTTTTCTTGGGAAGCACAGCAGCCATGCTCTGTTCCTTCAGTTTAATCTTGTTCTCAGCTATTATCTTTTTGCGTTGTTCCAGGTAAGGCCCAAAACTAGGTAGTTTCTGAAACAAAAACCAGAAAACATGATTATGCTTAATGAATGGGTGAAGCAAAAAGGTGAGTCTGATCCCAAGGGTGAGATCCTAAGTCCTTGCTGAGTGTAACTTTCCTCTTATTCAGGAAGTTGAAATTGAAATCAGTGAGACTGTACCAGAGTGAGAAGTGAATAAAAATCAAATAGGAGCTTCAGGATCTGACTTGAAAATATATATTGAATATTGAAATATTAATATACCACAGCAGAAAAATAGCTGAATTGCAGGTCAGCATCCAACAGTCTTATATTTCCCCATTGCATACTTGCTTATACATGAAATGTATCATTCTAAATAATTCAAATGCATAACTTTATTTCTGTAGTACGTGGAAAGGTATCATAAAATTGTCAGCTTACTTATAAGGGTTCCATCTTTAAGATTATTTGTATGGATATCTGAATATATTAAAAATATATATATATTTTAAAGCTTACCAACATGCATTTTGCATTCTGATAACAGAAGGCTGTCTTGACCTGTCAAAGAAGGCTAACAAACATCAAATGAAATGAAACACATTCTAATCTCCTAATTTACATCTATGTCCCACTTGCAGTCTTTTCTGCAACATTTAATCCTTGAACCCAATTAAGCAAATTCTTGAGGAAGATATCACTGAATTGCAAAACTCATGTCTCACCCAAAACCATGAAAGTGCTGGTTCAGGTTTCATAAATACCCAGCTTCTTGAAAAAAGGGAACTTCCCTTTGCTTACCTAGCAGAGACATGGACAACCGTAGTGTGCCACAATCACAGATTTAGGTGAATGAAAAATAGTAGAAATAATGGATTTTTGCTTAATGCAAAAGACCACGTCCTTCCTCCCCTGAAACTAGTTCCTTATTCTGCAAAGATATTTTATCCACCTAACTAAACCCTGTTCAGAAGCTACTGCAGTATTGCAGAAACTAGCAGGTAGTAACAGGGGATACATAGCCTCAGCAGTTGCTAGCATTAATTCACGCTAATAATACAACCTCAAAGAGCATATCGAACAAGATACAGTACTGCTGTGGTTATCAATTTTTTAAGAGGTAATTTCAATGTGAATTTTAAAACCAGAATTATTAAAAAATTTAGAAATTATTATTTTTTAAAATGAAGTAAATCCAGAAGAGATTACCCTGCCCCTTGGCTAATCCTTAGGAGAAAAATTCCTCAATGAGCTCTGTCAGTCATGATACCCAACCTTGGGACCTTAGGCTTCTTGTTATGGCAAATTAAAGCCTTCTTGGCTGCTAGGTTTTTAGCCAGAGGGTGAAGTCCTGGAAATGCTTCCCTGCCTTCAAGACTTAACTTCAAGTCAGAAGAAGACTTGCAGTCTCATGGTGCTCTCCAGAGGAGGTGCCCTCCTCTGCAGGCTGGGTCTGAGTCGTACTCTGGGACAAAGCCTTAGTCTTGCCAAATGCAAGACCACAACTGTGGGGCATGTTGCAGACTCCACCTGTCCCATATCTAGATGTAGCCTGAGTTTGCCCATCAGCAAAGGGCTCTTGTTTTGTTTGTTCAATGGAAACTTTGTTCCTGAGTATTCAAGGGCTTCCTTACAGACATCAAACAAACTTTCCTTTTTCTGCGGTTGCCATACATGATTTTGGAAAGGAACTGTTTGAGGATGTCTTAAAATAAGGCTTTAAGTATTACTGCAGACAGCAGTAAGGTAGTGGTCTTACATACCAAAGTCAAATAAGACAGCAAACCCAGAATTATTTTAAACAGGAAAATGAACAGAAGGAAAAATCTGTCTAATTTCAATCTAATCAATCGGCTCTAAAGCGCACACAGACTACTCAATTCTTTATATGACTTTTAGAAAGCCTAAGACTTCTAGCAAAAAATCTAAAAATTACAAATGTTGATAAAAAGTGTTCTTGTATGTCTGCTAGGCTGCATTAATTAGAAATACATTTTAGCTATGAATAAGTAGTAGCTGTGTCACTGAGAAACTATTTTCTCTCCATAATTTATGTGCTGATGCCAACAACTTTGGGTTTGAGAGGGCAGGAGACCTGATGACAAAGCATTTTTGGACTCTTCCCTGTCTGTCCAGGAATTGAATTGCTGACATTCAGAGTAGGTAGCAAAGCTAATTTTGCTGAGGTTTGAACTGAAGCAGTAGAGAGAGGAGACGTTCATGGCTTGACTGATTGAAGATCATCTTTGGAAAGAATAGCCAAATCTTTGCAGAATAAATCCTTTACTTTTCTGTTGTCTTAATGTATGCCCAATCTCCTAATTTCTACAGACAGAAATACTGAGAATATTAAAATGAAATGGGTGATCTAAGGAAAAGTGTGGGAAAAAAAATATTTCTGTGTAGAGGTGCAGAGCAAATTACAAAGGCAATGAGTTAATTTTCTAAGCTGTGAGATGGAGGTATTTAGATATTTATGTCTAACATAGCTACATGTATGCACAGCATAAATTTTGAAGTGTGCAAATAGCATCAGCACCATAATTCACACTTCATAATAACATGCATGCAGTTAAATTAACATATATAATCTGTATCATTTAAAAATAAATGACATTATGATTAATCTAGAAAACACATATCCAACCTTAGTCTTTGCTGTGCATTGCTGGTTTTCCATCAATAAACAGATTAAATGGAATTTAAGTTAATTAAGAAACAGCTAGGTCTTAGTCCAGGTTTGGGCATACACAATGAACTTCCACTGATTTAACAGAAGGTGACTGTGTGCCCATACAAATGGTCTGGTTATTTTGTGTTTGGACTCTCATAGTTCACAAGCAGCCAAGTCAAATTTCATCAAACAACACTGAAAACCAGCAATCTTTTCTATAACAATAAATAATACATGAAAATGTAGCCTCAGGATCTTAGGAAGGACTTATTGATGGTTCCCCTTATGAGCAATGCGCAGATACAGGGAACGCTGATGAGACTTCTTATTGTTCAGAGCTGTGGTTTCAAATGTTTTGGAGTCAAAGGCCATATGAAATGGCAAGCAATATTTTAATGAAGCTGGTTATTGGATATAGCCAAAGTGGAAACATGTTGAAAGAACTGCTGAAGAGATGGATATTTAAGAGTTTAAAATTAAATCACCTCTAATCATTATAGGGGATACCTTCCTAAGAACATGGGGGATTTAACAGCACAATTCCCAATGAAAGTACAAACACAGAACTTGGTGAGTCTGCTTTTGAAATCTTTCTACAGTATGTTGTGGGGTTTTATTTTAAATTCCATATATTCCAATGTCACTATACTCTTCACACACTGATATCTTTGTCATATCAACATCTGCCTAGAAAAAAACAATTAATATGAATATGTGGATCATAGCCAGCGGTTAGAAGATTGCAACAAGCAGAGTAATTAGATAATTCTTGTCTACTTGTATATCTGTATCAGGGATGTCTATAGCCACATTATTTGTATCCATCTGTCTCTATATAGCAATAATTCAATGTGTTTATATTGGAGTGATAACATCAAGAATGGAAACAAAATAAAAATATTAAGCAGTATTATTTCATTGTTCATAACTGCATTATCACAAAACTGAAGCTCGAAATACTGTGCTAGAGTATTTTACAGAAAGAAAGGAAAAATATCCATGCCCCCTGACTTCCAAAATCTGATTTTTAACTGATGAACTGTATAAATCGCCAGCAACATTGTGATTTTTGTTTCAGTAGTTTCTCCAGGGATTCATCATTGATGAATTTGTTCTCACCAGAAAAGCTAAATCCTACTCATTTAAAGATAACAGTATCTTCCACTAAAACTGTCTCTATCCAGATATAAAAAAGCATTACCCTGCCAATAGAGAACTGACAACATAATGAATCAACAATGAAAACCTTAAGCTGGGAGAGCTTTAAGGTGAATAAGTCTGTTTTGATTATAATTTATTCATGGATCAATCTAAAGGTAATTGAGCATATTATGAACTAAAAAAGGTGCTTGTTTCCTAATGGTAAAAAGTAGAGAGAATCCACCACTTCAAATTGCTGCAATTTTTATGGGCACGTCAGCAAGTAGCCTAACTGGTGGAACAGGCTAGTGAACAGGGAAGTGGAAGACGTGTCAGACGACCCAGACTTTATTTCTAACTTTGAAACTGATCTGCTCCTTATTCTGGGAAAGTCCACATACATCTCCATGATGTAGTCATGGGTTGCTTATTTGGGAGCTGTCTCTTACTAAGGGGCTGGATACTATTTAATGTTAGAAGACCCACATTTCAGCTGGCACAGTGTATTGGGTTTACATAGCAAAGTTTTGGTAGTGAAGGAGGCTACAGGGGTGCCTTCTGTGAGAAGCTGCCAGAAGCTTCCCCTATGTCTGACAGAGACAATGCCACCTGGCTCCAAGACAGACCAGCTGCTGGCCAAGGCCAAGCCCATCAGGGATGGTGGTAGAGCCTCTGTGATAACATATTTAAGAAGGGGGAAAAGAACCCCAATGCACTGACAGCCAAAAAGCAGAGTGAGAACATGTGAGAGAAACCACTCTGCAGACACCAAGGTCAGTGCAGAAGGAGGGGGAGGAGGTGCTCCAAGTGCCGGAGAGAGATTCCCCTGCAGCCGGTGGTGCAGCCCATGGTGAGGCAGGTTGTGCCCCTGCAGCCTACAGAGATTAACAGTGGAGCAGATACCCACCTGCAGGCCGTGGAGGAGCCCACGCCAGAGCAGGTGGATGTGCCTGAAGGAGGCTGGGACCCTGTGAGAAGCCCATGCTGGAGCAGGTTCACTGGCAGGACCTGTGACCCTGTGGGGGACCCACGCTGGAGCAGTCTGTTCCTGAAGGACTGCACCCTCTGGAAAGGACCCACGCTGCAGCAGTTTGTGAAGAACTGCAGCCCATGGAAGGACCCATGTTGGAGAAGTTCGTGGAGGACTATCTCCTGGGGGGGGGAGCCTGTGATGGAGCAGGGGAAGAGTGTGAGGGGTCCTCCCCCTGAGGATGAAGGAGCGGCACAGACAACGTGTGATGAACTAACCACAAACCCCATTCCCCGTGCCCCTGTGCCGCTGTAGTGGGGAGGATGAGGTAGAGAATCCAGGATGAAAGTTAAGCCCAGGAAGAAGGGAGGGGTGGGGGTGAGGTGTTTTAAAATTTAGGGTTTATTTCTCATTATCCTACTCTGATTTTGACTGGTAATAAAATTAAACTAAATTCTCCAAGGCATCTGTTTTGCCCATGACAGTAATTGGTGAGTGATCCTTCTGTTCTTATCTTGACCTATAAGCCTTTTTTAATATTTTCTCTCCTCTGTTCAGCTAAGGAGGGGGAGCAATAGAGCATCTTTGGTGGGCACCTGGTGCCCATGCAGGGTCAACCCACCACACACTGCCTAGGTACCATCATAAACCAAAAATCAGCAACAGTCTCCTACAGTACTCCAGTAGATCTGAAGTATATCCTGTTGGTATTCGCTGATGATGGGACATCTAAAATAACTCTGGAAAATAATAATCTTCATAAAAATTATTTTCAGGGAGCAATGGTCACAAGGTAAAGGAAGAACTTGCAATAAACAATTCTAGGGATCACTGGATCATTGAAATTTGAGGTAGCTCTATCATTTAGCTATGAGACAACATATTTCAAAAATACTGCTTCCCTCATTGTTCTGCTGCTTAAGGATACCAATTAAACTCAGACACCAGAGTGAAAAGAGCAGGCGTATTTTACTAGTGATAACAGTGTAATACAGAAAACATGCAGTAAGAAAAAGCAGAACAGTGCACTTAAAGCAGCAAACAGTAAAAACAGAGTAATGCATTAAATCATTACTACACAAGAGAGAGAATGGAGATTAAGAAAAATACATCACCACTTGCATATATTATCATCATCCAGATCCGCAGTCACTGGGCAGCCCCGGTCACAGCGAGGATTTGGAGAGCCTGTCCCGGCAAGTGGGAAATCCTACGCGGTGCATCCACCCATGGGTGAGGCTTTCAAAGTCGCTGTGAGCGGGTCCAGCCTTATATACCAGAGATTGACAAGCCAGAATAGCTGGCACCTTTGTTTTGAGCGGAAAATTTCTGGTTTCATTCTCCTGTTGGATTCCACCCAAAGCCTGGCCAGGGCTCAGGGGGGGAAACCAAGGGAGTTTCTAACAAGGCCAGATACTTGGGTTCTCAGCCTTGAACAAGGCCAAACAAGGGATGTTGGATACATTCTCTCCTCACTACTGATTATATTTTGTCTAAGCTGCATCTTTCACTAGTGAGCTTACATACTTTGTTAATGATTACTCACTAAACAGCTTTGGCTTGGGGCCTGTTGTTCAGGCTTCAGTACTTCAATGCTTTAACACTTTTTACATCAGAATAAGTGCATTGTTATAACTTAGTACAATACCTACTAGCACAACGGTTTTCAGTTATAAAATATACAGGATTCATCTATAGGTCAACTCTGGCTTGGGCCAGTTGTCCAAGCCTTAGCACTTCACTCTGTGTGAAGGATTTCCCATATTGGATATAATGTCATTATCCAATTTCTTTTACACTTGAGGGTTGCCTCCAGTCTGAGGTATGAAGATGTGTATGCATTCATTCTCTAAATTCCTCTTGTGCACTTTCAACATCTAAACAATTTGAAGTGACACAGTGATGTCCCTCAAGAATCTGGAAATGGAACTGAAGCCAAATTGTCTTACTTCACATACTTTATATTTTTCAAGCATAGATGTTTCATCCAGTTCAGCCCTCTGCTCAGAGCAGGGTCAGATACAGCAGGTTCCACCAATTTGTTTATGAGCATGCTATGGGACACAGTGTTTAAAGCCTTGTTAAAATTAACACCTACTGCTCTCTTCTCATCTGCCAAGCCAGTCATTGCATTGTAGTAGGTTATTGAGTTGGTCCAATGTGGTTTTCCCTTCATAAATCCATAGTGACTATTCCCTTCCTATGAAGAACAGTTGATCTGTAGTTGGCTTAGCTATCCTCCTGAAATACCACTCCCTTCTGTAAACGTGCACAAAAGCTGAGCTTCATCCCTTTATTGCCTTGGCAGGACTGCATCTGGGAAGGTTTCTCATTGGCTTCAGAGAACTGGGAAGACAACCAGCTAAGCAAGTAAAAACAGAGTGTAACAGCCTTGGAGGCTACACAGGCAAGTGACCACCTCAGACAGAGTTAAAGGTATAAAGACTGCAGACAAGAATGAATAGATTTGAAGAGGGTAATAGGTGAAGCAGGACCCCTGTAAGTAGGAGCATGGTACAGAAAGGCAATCAGATAAGGGAAACATTAACATTTAAGCAAGGTAGACAGCTGCCCTCAGCCAGGAGCTACAAGAATTTAAATCAGGTTTGTATGGGTCATTTTATATGCCCTCAGCACAAAGGTTTTAGTAATGTTTGACCCCCATTTGTTCATGTGGAAAACTTCTATATTTGATGTATAAAGTTTTCCAGAGAAACCAGTTTCAATTTTAATGATTTTTTCCAGTTGCTTCTGAATCCTTCAAGTTTATTTTTTCTAAAGTCTAATGTGCTCAAAATGGCTGCATATATCTAGAATCCTTATTATATGCTGCACGTACATGTGGCCTTAAACACACTTTACACTGCACAACAGTTTCCATTCAGTGGCCTGCCTCCACTCTCTTGCAACTTTACAACAACAACAACAACAACAACAAAAGATTACTGAAGTTTCCTGAAGTGGTATCTGCTTTCTTCCTTGTTATGGGAGAATACAATGAAACATGATGCTAACATTTCCAGAGAGGAAGAAAACACAAAGTCCCAGTACCAAAGAACAGCAACAGCAACAACAACAAAATCTTGTCACAATGACATGATAGCTTGTGCTCTTTCTGGGAAAAAAATCCCAATCCAACAATAAAGCCAAAAGCTAATTTCTGTTCCTCTGAACATGGCAAATAATGCACATATTCATATTCATAGATATATGGAGAGAATATGTGTACAAACTTCCCCCACTAATGGGGTAAACTGCTTAACTAATGAAAACTAAGTATGCACAGCAACAGGGAAACTGAAACTGCTAATTCTTATTCTTTTAGATGTTCTTACACTTTCAGACATTCAAAGCTAAATTATCTTAAATAGTTGCTCTTCTCTGTGTCAGTCGGGCAATGGTGATATATTGGCCCTTCCCATACACTGCATGATAAGGGCCTATGGCATGACCGAGTCATCCAGATAGCAGTAGGGTTCATGTCAAACCTCCAGCAGGGAATCCTATGTGAGTCCTTCCCATGGCATGCTGGCAGGCGGCATGCCATGGAGAGGATGGCATACTTCACTCTATCAGTTTCCATATGATAGTGAGCTTCTTGGGCCTACACCAGTTGTTACAGCCCCGAGGTGCTGTGGTTACATTACCAAGGAGCTGCAGAGAATTTGTCCCTTGTATTAAAGGGTTCACACATTCTCATGGCTCTGTTTCTTAGAGCTGAGACATTACTGGCATCACTGCCTTTAATGATGTGGAAATGCCTTCAAAATAAAGGACAGAACACAACAATTCTTCAGGAAAAAAAAAAAAAAAAGAACTCTGCCTTTCAGTTATTTTGAATTTTTTTTCCTGGAATTTTTATTTACTTTGTAAACAGCACTGTCTCAATAACCTCTAATTACTGCACATATACTTGCTTCTGTAACCTCTGCTCCCCACCCTGCGTGTGTATATACCATTGCATTTAGTTACTCAGTTATTCTGCCCTCTCTTTAGACCATGATTATTTAAAGCAGGTGAGCTAACCTCCAGCCCTGCAGTAATTCTGAGACTAAACAGAACATTAATGTGTGTTCTAGGAAAACATATTGCTGTAACCTCACCATAAGATATAGTATAATAATAAATAATAGTACCATGCTTGAGCGTGCAGATAAAACCATTATTTAAAATAACAATTATTTCTTCTTTCATAATTTTTCTAACACTGCCAAAATTTTCTCTACTAGCTCAAAATCACGATCAAATTATTCTTCATGTTCTATTTCAAATGTTTGGTTTTTAGCAGCTTATATATACCAAGTGAAGGATAAGATTTTAGGATTATAGGCTTATTATAATGCAGCAAAACCTTACATTCTACAAATGTACAAAAGTCATGAAATATTAATCAATAAAACAAAAAGGAGTTAATATTTGAAGCAAGCTTAGACATTTACAATCAAAAGCCAGGATGACATAGATGATAAAGAAAATGTTACCTTCTGGGGTGAAGAAAAGAAGATACTGATACACATTACTGTGCTACTTCATGAACATCTGGCAGTCTGTCACTTAATAGACAACAACATCTTCTCTAAACAGAAGAGACTTGAATTCATTAGGGATTCCTGTAGTACAGTATGTGCTTAACTTAAGTACCTGCTTTCTGTGATTTCCATAGATTACCATATTCATGACACTGTGGAGTGAAAGCATTCTTCTCACTCTCTAACCAGAACATGCAAAAGAAATTAAAACACTGGCAGGCACTTTGTCTCCAGTTTGTTGGACATGCGAGGAGAGGACTTTCCACCCATTTATGCAGATGAAATTCTGTCAACTAAGCAGCAGCATAACAAAGATGTCAGCAGAATGGCTATTAACAAATATCTGACAGGCAAGGAAATATAACTGTATTCAAATACATTTAGGAAATGTGTATAAGTTATCAGTTGAGCCTTAGTATTTGAAAAAACTTTGTGCAAAAAAGTTTTTGTACTTTTACTGGTACAGAAGTAAAAATACATCAGTCCAGTATTCACCTTTTTATGTGTATCTATATACCATAGTGTATATATATATACATTCACTTTATGTGCTCATCATATCAATATTATAAATTATCTGATCGTATGAAAAAATCCCATTTCTAGATACTTTTACCCACCTTCTCCTCCAAGCTGGCTGTTAACTGAGCTATTCAGAACAACCCTAAAACCATCTGTTTCTTTGGATTTAACCATCCACTTCTGGGGGTACATGTGCCAAGGAGATTGAACTCTAACAGTACC